GCCGGCAGGTCCACAGCAAGCTGCTGCGCACCAGCTGCGAAGCCCGGGAGGCGGCCCTGAGCTTCTTCCGCGTCCATATCCCGCTCCACTTCGGCGAGATCAACAACATGTATGCGCCCGTCGCGAGGGGCACGCTTTACCTCAGCCCCGAGCACGACGTCATCCATCTCAGCTCGTGGCGCGGCGGCGACACGGATGAATACTCGTTTCTGGACTTCATCCACGACCTGAAAGCTTACGACCCGCGAGGGACTGGGATCTGCAATTTGGCTCTGGACGGCAAAGGGATTGAGGCCTTCCGCTCCCTCACGAAGCGCCCCCCAGAGGCCGCCCCTGCAACGGCGGCAGTCGTCGACTGCCTTTCGCGGCTGCAAAGTATCACCTGGATGGCCGATTCCCGCTGTGGTCGGGCCATCCTGGGGTGGATGCGGGGTATGCCCGATATTGGCGTTCGTTTCAATCATTCTATGCCAATCAGAAGCGCCAGTCTCCGATTCAACATCGTCGGCCAAGACCCTCGACCGGTCGGCCCGGAGTTGAAGTACGTCGTGACGGCCACCGGCACTTCCAGCGACCCTCGGCGGATGCATGTGTGGTGGCGGGAACTGCTGGAAAGGTGGGAGATCCGCCAAGTCCGGCCGACGAAAGAGCGGGTTCTTTTCGCTTGCAAGCCCGATGTGAACTACCCGAAGCATGAAGTCTGGGATGCCAAAACGGCCGACGACCTCCTCATGGAGGAGGAGGACAGCTGGATCAAGACTCAATTAAGGGAGCATGTTGCCATCCGGAGGTTTGCTGGAAGGGTACCAGTTGAAGGCCCAGATGAGCTTGCAAAAGCCACGAGGCCGGCCATTGGTTTCTGGTTGTTTCCCATCGAGGCCTTGAGAGATGACGAGGAACGAGTCGCCACTAGGGGCCCTTACACGGTATATGACCTCACGGGCCACTGGCCCGAACTGGCCCTGTCACATCTCACGTGACTGGGGAATCAAACGCACCCAAGCCTTGACACATTTATTAGTTTTTAGTTTGCTCCTCTTTCCCAATAGGGGGGACGTTGGACTAACGGCCGGGGTCACTACATCGTCTTCCTTGTATGGTTCCTTATCGTCCGTCGTGACAAGCCCGACTTGCTGGGTCCCCACGACAGCATCAACCTTCTCGGGCATCTCGGGCAGCTCGGGCAGCCGGGACCCATCCATTTCGTAAGTCTCATGGACGGCAACCTCATATCTCTCGTTGGGGTTCGGCCTCTCCGAGTCGTTTTCCTTGCCGTCCAGCTCCTCCGGGATCTCCCTTTCCATCAGCTCGGGCTTGAGGTTCAGCGCACACGCAACGGCGTTCGCCGTGCAGCCGTAGCCGCCCGAGCCCCCCCGCTCTGGCTTCGAAAGGCCACCGGCACTTTCCTCGTCGGCCTTGCCATCCCCGACGCCGGAGTCTCTGGTCTGCGATCCCTTCCGCCATTGGTGGATGAAGTAGCAGAACAGCACTCCAGCGAGCAGCAGGACGACGGCCGCGGCGCCGATCGTGATCCCCGCCACGACCTCGGGCGCCAGCGGCTTTGCGGGTGCATTGTTGGCGGGTGGTGGTGCCGTGCCGTTATAGGCGGGGATGATGGCCCTCCGGGCTTGAAACTCGCCACTGGGTCACACCAAAGCTAGTCGTGATCTCGACGGTCTGCATTAAATGGCGAACCGCGGGAAGGAGCTGAGCTCCGAGTCGGATGTCTGCTGTTCGGGGCGCCATACCCATGCCTGGCTCGATAGTTGGACGCTGGCACGACGCGGAGGGATGTCAGTCGACGGAGGACACAACAGCCCTGCAAGGCCGCTGAGGGAAGAATCCTAGAGAAGACATACAAGTCTGCGAGCTCCCGGATGCCGACATTGGTCGAGTTGTCCAGGTTCGGCCGGCCCAAAAGCCAGAGGGCCACATTTGCCGAGGCCCCAGCAGGCGCAGCCCATTGGACCATATAATCAGTACCCAGAACAATCGTCTCGTTCGAGTGGGGACTAGCGATGGTGGTCCGGGCCATGAGGCCCGCGTTGGTCTGGGCGCCTGCGGTCGCCGCGAGGACAGCGCCCAGGACGAGAGATTGGAGCCAGCGGTCAGCTGCCGAGCGCGGAAACATTTTGTGAGACGCCCGTGACGACGATCCGGTCCTGAAAAGGGAGACAGATGGTGCAAGTGGAAGGAGTCACGACGAAACGACTGGGACTACGCCCCATATTATGTAGGGCTTGCCTGTCACGGCCACTAGTGCCGGCTTGAGGAGCGGCGACCCACTGCTTGTACAGGTCGCCTTGCGGCTCGTGCATACAATGCGGTCGCCGTCGAGATATCCCGATTCTGTGGCGCGGGGCCTACGGGTGCTTCCTACCTTGACCACCATCTTTTCTTACTACTGTTTATCCGCCCTACGTGCTCTGATACTGTCCATACCACCAAGCTCATGCTTAGTCCCCTGATATAGTTCCTTGGCTAACTGCAGTATCCTGGCGCAGTTAGGGAAGGGGTTGGGTCACATGGAGGCTGTGGCTTGACATGCAAGGCACTTTCCCAGTGGTTCGGTGCTCGACTCTCATTCGTCCCGTCCCCCTCCCCGCCATCACATTACATCACAAGCCCAGAACTGGCATGTGACTGGCTACGTGCCGCTGAGGATACTCCCAGTTTCCAGGCACCTCCGTGAGGCACGGTAGCACAAAGATCGATGGCCGGTCGATACCGTCCTTCTCAGGGCAATTGTGGGGCAGGCAGTGACGGGAATGGTGCCGCATCCGACCCCCCCTTGGCCAAGCGGTCTAACGGGAGCCCAGGTTGGAAATGACTGCTTATGACTTGTGGTGGTGGCCTTGCTGTGATGAATCCTTGGAGCGATGAATGGCAATGCGCGTGCGGGTACGATGCCCTGCTGAGAAGGCTCTATTAACGCAAAGGAAATCGAGGTTACAATCGCACGATATGTACTATTCGCACTCCTCTCAGTATGGCGAGGCCACCCGTCGCCCCGAATATTCCCCGGCACCATCACCGAGCCCCATGCGTGTCCTGAACGACGCACGCTTCGGCTCAACCCGGCCCGTTCCGGGCGTTGTCGTCCGCGATCTTGTTCCCAGGATGCCCCTTCCCTCTGCCACGTGCGCCCCTCCTCCTCCTCTTCCATCCACCCCAGCCGGAGTTCCCATCGCCCGCCCGTCGCCGCCACGGAGCGCCAGCGGCGCAACAGCCGCCGTCGCCGCGCAGCACCGGGGCGGGCCCCTGCCCCGCCGGGAGCTCAAGCCGCTCGCGTCATCGGTCCACTCGCGGCCCTCGTCGTGGATGTGGTACATGGCGTGCAGGTCTCCCGACATGGGCTGCCGCGCCAGGGGTCGGTGTCGGCTGCTCGACTTTCGCGGCGGGAACGGTATCGCGACCGCGAGAGTTGGAGGATCTGGGGGACCTGCGAAACCTCCTCCTCTGTCCCAGCCTCTGCTTTCTGCTGCGGATTGGTGAGGATAGCCTGTTGGGACCATGACCCAGGAGAGCTCGACTTCCCCCGGCGCTGCTGCTGCGCGGGGACTCTGCCACCCGTTGGGGTTGTAGAGGCTGACGGGGCACGGGATGCATCTTTTGGCTGGCTTGACCCGGTCGAGATAGCGGATGGGTGGCCGAAGCGATGATGCATTCACCTCGGGTACGTTCAAGGGGATGATGAGAGCCATTTTGGTTGGATAGAATGATGCGTACTTTGTGAATGCGAAGAAAGATGTGCACGTCAGAGGCGGTTCTTGTTTGAAAGGAACAAACAAAGCTGTTGGAGCTGTCTCTCATGGAAACTGCCTGATGGCTCTTTATAGATGAGTGTAGGCGGCTTTAAATTGCCGCCAGAGGTTCTCGTTGGCGGATGTCTACCGGACGTAATCACCGGGCGGCGAGCGACGCTTCGCCCCGAGGTTCCCGGGTTTGTAAGATTCCAGTTCTCTCCATAAAAACATCAGCAAAGCACACCAGCCTCGGCCTTCGGTGCCGAAAGACCGCGGTCCTTCCCTGGCTCCGCCGGTTCCCATAATCATCGGCCTCAATAAGGTACCCGGGTTGAGAGCTATGATGGGATGGATGGCATATCGATGCTCAAACAGAGGTCTCGGAAATCTTTCTGTGGAGACCCTATCTGTCAGCAGCAGAGAAATTTCCAAACTTTGCTTGACCGTTGCCCCCGACCACGAAGGACCGATGTTGGGTTGTCGGGTCGGCGGATAGTTGGGATGAAATAGGGCCGTTTTTGTGCGGTTGAACCGGCAGGCGGCTTGGAATTCTGGTTCGACACGGGATGAAGACCGAGAGCTATCTCGTCGTCTCATGTAGGAATATTGTCAACTCAGTAATACACGTCAATAGACCGACTGCTTCTGATATCATCGAGGCTTTGTAGGGAAATAAAACGTCTGCGTAGTCGAGCAAGGGCAGCGAGGAAAGCCAAGGGGGTGCGCGCTGCACAGTGGGGTAGGAAAATGCGATTTGTGCGGTCCTTGCGGTCTCCTTTGGGACAAACGGGAGGATTTGTGCTACGGAGAGTTCCCAAACCGGCATCGACAGGATGCCACAAGCGCGGATAGGGAGGAAAACTGCGAGTTGCGAAGTGGCCCGCATCATGTCGGTATTCTAGGCCGCAGGAAGAGAAAGGGCTTGGGGCTGCGCGTGAAAAGTTATGGAAGAGATATCTCTGTCGGTTCCACGGTGTAGCTAAGAAAAGATCGTGATCTAGCAATGGGATGCGCATTCAGGCAGCGAAAGAAATGTTTTGATACCACTGCCGGCTGTGGAAACGCTGGTATGGAAGTCGGCCCACTTGTGTCCAGCCTGCTGGGACGCCGCGTCAACGGCAAGTCAAAATACAACGTCCTCCACTGTGCAGGGAGCATGTGGGTTGGGCTTGCATATCCCGACCGCAGGTGCGGCTCCCTCGGGGTCGGAGGGTTATATGTCGAGGAAGGAGCCATGGTCCTCAACAACAAGCCGCCTGCGTGGTCTAGTGGTTCAGGACGTCGCTCTGCTACTGGAGGCTGGTAGCTTCTCTGCGCCGCTGGCCGGCCAGAGAAGCGCTCCTCTAGCGAGTAGCGAAGGCACCGGTTCGAATCCGGGAGCGGGCATTTCTTTTGCTTTTGGTTCTTTGAGAGGGATCAAACCTGCCTGGTTTTTTTTTTTTTTCTCCTTTCCTGCCGTAGGGCTACCTTATTATGGAAAGCCACCATGATTGCTTTGACGCGCCGTTAAGTAACTGCTTGCAAGCAGGTCCGATTTCGTCGTCGAGTGGTGTTGAAGGGCGACAAGACAGGAAGGTAGTGGAAAGCGGCCAACCGTGGCCACTGTGATGGAAGGCCCTCACAACAAATGGACGCCTGACCCACCCACTTCTCGGTACACAAGCCGAGCGACGCCGCCAGGCTACTCGCTTTGGTGCCTGATAAACATGTCGAGGGCAAGCACAACAGACTGTCTACGGTTAATTGCCCGTCCTCCTCGTCCATCTTCCCCTTTCCACGAACGTGTGCGCGACGGACCGAAGTACCGCATGGCCATGGACTGACAAAGAACATCCACCTACGGGATTACCACCACATCAAAAAGCATTTATAGAGTTTGTTTCTTCACGGGCAGAAACCAGCATCGTGCGAAGCAAAGACGTCACGTCGGCGAAAAAACAGCCGACTTGGATTTTATCCATATTGTTACAATACACTACGGCTTCTCAGCTGCGTAAGGCACGAGAGCGTTGCCCCCCAGAACATCCTTGTAAAAGTCCTTGACGGTTATCGGCGCGATGTCCGGGTAGAGCTTGCGGCTGTCGAGGTAGCCCAGGTAGTCGGCCACCTCCGGCACGCTGTCGCCGCGGACGCCCATTGAGTAATAGTACTCAACGCACGTCAGCGTCGTGCTGGCATCCTCGCTGTCCGGGTCCTTGGCCAGCGCGGCTTTGGACTGGGCTATCGTCTCCTCCATCTGCTCCTTTGTGAACTGCAGGCGAATAAGAAATGTTTGTCAGCAAGCGAACAGCAGCAGCAGCACGAGGCGCGTTCGTCGAAACTTACAAAGGTCCTCTCCACCTTCTCGCCGCTCAGCTCCTCGAGCGCCTCGACGACCTGGAGTAGGGTGAGCACCTGGTCGTAGACGTGTACGTGTTTGTTGATGGTCTGCGGATCTGCCAAGATCCTGGCCGCGTGCGGCCCGATGGAGTGTACGTCGGAAAAGGCGATGGGCGTGGTGCCGTCGCCCCAGAGGCGGGCATCGTCCATGGGCGGGACGACGATATAGTCGGTGCGGCCCGAGGGGATCCGGAAAGGGAAGTTCTGGTACCACCAGGCCACGTCGATGACGGTGTAGGACAGCCTCTGGAGCTTGATGTGGTTGACGATGGCCTCCTTCTGCTCGCGCATGCCCATGACGCCGTACGCCGGCATCACGGGCCCGAAGTTGTTGGGCACGAAGCGCTTGACCCCGGCCTCCTTGCAGACGTCGATGAGCGCCTTTGCCTTGTCCGGCTCGAAGAAGTTTGCCGGCGCGATGACGACGTCGGCGCCTCTCAGAAGCTCGACCGACTCTTGGCGCTGGCTGTCGACGTCTAGGCCCACGACCTTGACGCCTCTCTTCCTGTACTCGGCATTCTCGGGCTTGTCCACACTGCTGGGGCGGCTGATAGCCGTGATGTCCTGAAAATCGCTCTTGCGGTTAGCCAACGTCGTACGCTGCCGGTTGGGGGCAGGTGTAGTCGAGCCTACAAAGTTTGTCGGAGACTTGATCATGCCATCGATGATCTGCTGAGCCGTATTGCCTGTGCCGCCGAAAACGAAAACTTTGATGGGAGTCGACATGGTGACGGCCGGCGTCTTGCTTTTGTGTTGCGTTGCGAAGGTGAGTGTGATTTTCTCGATATGCTTCCAGCTTACTTGATGAGCGACTGTTGGCAGCATTTTATACCGTAGTTGCCCCCCGCTGCGCCTCGGAGACAAACCCCCGCGTCGGGGCGAGTAATCACGAACCCTATGCTGGAAGTGGACATTCCGACGAAGGTCTGCGACACCAGGGGTGTGCATGCCGTGGCGGAACAGGTTCAGCGCTGCTACGTGGTCTGTGCAAGAATTGGAATTTTATATTAAACCACAGCTTCATTCCCCTTTTCTACTTAGAAACATCGAGCGCCACAACCTTGTAAAGCGCTGTATGGTTGGACCTAGCTTGGTGGGTACATGTCCTATTCATGAAACTGCTAGATCATGTCGCCGGAGGCCGCGGGGGTTTGGCTCAAAAGTTGAAGTCGGGAGTTCCCGAGACTGATGGATGTGGATGCCGGAGCAAGGACAATTACGTAAGCCGGCAAGTCATACCCATGGAGGTAGGATTTCCTTGAGAGGCAGTTGCCGGTGGGGTGGTAGCTGTTGCTGCCCTGGGTGATCTCCCCCAATGCAGCCCAAGCTAGCTGTTGTATTGATGGATGCATTCTTCCCCAAGACGTACTAGATCTCCTCCCAGAAGGTACCATGTTTTGTTACTGCTATGACCTTTTACGTCTACCTACTTGCGCACCGGCCAGCATGTTGAAAGAAGAAACAAGTATTTTGACCTACCAAAGCCACATTATTTTACCAAACCACGCTAACACTTGCTCACCCTTGCTTCCCTACTATCTCTCCCTAGCAACGCCTCCACTTGAACGCAAGCTTCTCCGACGACACCTCAAAGTTGCTGGTCCCCTTGTCTGGCAGCACGATCCTGAAGATGACGTTGGCGATGTGGCCGTCGCTGGAGCACGCACTCCACAGGCCCTCGTCGCCATGGCTCGAGTGTACATCGAGCGGCACGCTGGCCGGCGAGTCCTTGGTGTTCTGGAGAGCACCATCGAGAGTTTGCTGCAAGGGAGTCACAAAAGTCAGTCCACGCATATTCTTTCCCGCTCTCGAACCTGGCTGACATCCAACATCACGCCTAAAAACAGTACACATACCGTTTTCTCCGCGTCGGCCGAGAAGAAGACGGTGCTGTAATACTCGAGCGACGACTTGGGCGCCAGGCTGCCCTTGCCCTCGGCCCAAACGTCGGACAGGGCGAGCTGCCAGCCCCTGCCGCTGCCGCGCGTCGAGATGTGGATCTGGCACGCCGACATGCGGTTGGACTTGTCGGGCGTCGTCGAGGCCCGGAAGCGCCCGTCAAACGTCAGCGTGATGGGCGTCTCGAGGCTGCCGCCGT